TTTATGTCTCTTCATTCTATTAAAATTACTTGTTCTTGTGAAGAGTATTCCATGCAACTCATCTCGAGAAAAATTCCTCACATTTTTTATGACTAACATAGCCATTTGAAGGCAAATGAAATTATAAAAGTGCAATAAGATTTCTAGTTTTGATGCCATGACCCATATTAATGTTATGCTATAAATTATAATGTATATAGTCATTGACAACGACTTTATATATGCTTAAAAATACAAGAATTTGACACCACTACTAGAAGATTTAAATCTCCGGCAACGACGCCAAAAACTTGATGCAACTTTTAATATGCAAGAATTTATGAACCAAAATTTATATATTTATAATGATTTTGTAAAGTCACAATTTCAAACGCAAGTATACGTATCGCTCAAGTAATACAGGGCTCTAGTGGAGTCCCGTTTATCGATCCCACAGGGAAGTGAGGTAAGAGGTCCTTAGTCAAATTCTAATTTACTACTATTAGTCCTTAGTTTGGGGATATTTTGAAGAGCAAATTGAACTTATCATATTTTGTTCTAAAAATTATCCACTAGGATCTTTCAAGATTAAACAACATTATAGCCTTGGGTTTGGTAGCTAAATCTTTAACTACTCATGTAATTTAAATTTTCTTGCAACATTGTATACATTCCTTGCAAGTACTAACCTTTCAGGTGGTGGAACGAGAAGACTCGCCAAGTATACTTTTACAGTTTACAGTACCGTCTTTTCTTGTACTTTTTGCATTATATTTTTATAAAACTTGCATGCTAAACAACGATGTCACTCTGCATGACAACCAGAATTGCTTGGATAGCCACAAAACTAAAACCAAAACTAAAATAAACCAATATAACATCTTCACTTCAATACTTAAATAATAGGATCGAATTGGGGATTGTAGTGTGTCACCCTAAAATCTCTAATTCTACGCCCATCAAAGTATATTTCCATATTTATTTGCATTCAACTCCCATGAACTTACCCATCCATAGAATCTGAATGTGGTTCTACATACTTTGTTTAGAATTACACAGCCCTGGTCTTAATGCAATTACAATGAACTTTGACACTACAACAGACCTTTATTGTAATGTAAATAAAGTGCAAACAAAAACTATCACATTGATAATTAAATCCATTTCTAACATGCATCACAAAATCCTAAACATGAATTCTACTCATTACAAAAGAAAAATGGCATAATCTTCTCATGCCATTATTTCCAAACAATAAGAGAGAGTAAGAGAAGCCCATCATAAAACATGAAGAAAATACAACGAAAAACTTCATTTCATCAAAGCAAATCTACTAGATAAGTGTTTACAAAATCATAAGATAATGAAGAACACAATATCTCCAAAAGGGTAGAAATCTACATTTCTACTCCTATTCTAAGAAACCTAAACTTTCTACACATTTTTCCTAACATTCCTCTCACACAAATCCTTCTTTTTATAACTTAAATTCATTCTCTTAAATTGTAGGGACAAAGTATGAAGAGTTGCCACAAGCACCCTTCCAAAAAGCGTCCAAATACATTGAATTTCAGCCCATAACCGTCCCGGGCGCCGTCGGCGGGCTCGAGGGCGCTGTTGGCAAGTTTTTCTGTCGTTTTTTGGTCTTCTTGGGTAAATCTCGCCGTCGGCGCCGTTTTGGCGCCGTCGGCGGGGCGGCTGCGGAGCCCCCCCGG